AATGAGAACTAATGGTGCATGTTATTAGAACCGCCCTCCCCTCCTGATGCCGTTCTATCCTCGGCGTCTTCGAATGTATTCATCCGCGCGCCTTCAAAGCCCGGCCGAGCAACGCGCCGTGCGCCCTAGTGATTAGGAAGAACGCCGTATGGGCGTTCGGACGTTGTCGAATCGACCACTTGACAGTGTATGAATTTAAGCGTTCTGAAACGCGTCTTTTCGAATGTGTTCATCCACGCTCCTTCAAATCCCGGCCAAACAACGGGCCGCGCACCCCTGTGATGAGGAAGAACGCCGTACGGGCGTTCGGGCGTTGTCGAATCGACCACTTGACAGTCTATAAATTTAAGCACTCTGATATGCGTCTTTTCGAATGTATTCATCCACGCTCCTTCAAAGCCCGGCCTAGCAACACGCCGCGCCATATGGGCATTTGGGCGTTGTCGAATCGACTACTTGACAGTCTATAAAAAGCATTCTGATATGTGTCAAAATTTCACGTGAATCGCGATTTGCGCAAAGATACGTATGAAGTGATGTTAGCTCTCAACCAAGATTATACGGTTTTTATCTATCATGTGCAATGTAAAAAGTGAATTTTCCGCTTTTGAAAAAACCAAGAGTCTATTCGAATGAAATCGCGCGCCACAACGGTTTTGGCAAGCTCCTCAAGCGAGCATTGTTTCTTAATCGACCTGCATTGTTAAAAATGTAAAGAACATGCTAAAGCTGAGCCGCAGCGCCGAGACTAAAGTCTTCATGTTTTATTTGTAGTAGATAGTAGAAATAAATTACTTTTTTTTTTCTCTGGAATTGTATCCTCCCTCACTTCCGAAAAATCAGGGTCGCCGGCGGTTTGGAAAATCAGGAAAATTCAGGGAATTGTGGGTGACCGGGAAAAATAGGGATTTACTGACACATCCTCAAATGACCATCAGGTGTCCGATTTGTCTGAACTAGTCGAATAGATTCGATACAAATCTGGGTGAAAATATCTCGAATTTGGGAAATTTCAGTTGTTGAGCGATGTACCCCTTTACTAATGTCCCCTATATTTTACTCTATGATGACAAGACATTTCTTGTATATTTGTATGTTTCCTAGGTTACGCTCCACGTTTAGTTCAACAGCGTCTTGCAGCGCTCTCTCCCGTCCGCGCGAAACCACTTTTACATATTGACGAGGTGCTACGGTGAACGCTTTCCAACGTCTTAACGATGAAACCGTCGTCTTGTTTTTTCTTCCAACCGTAACATCGTATTTCTTCAATTTTAAGAGACTGCCAAGGGAAAATGCCATATCAGGTTTACAAAGGTCACGGGAAACATGTGCAAACCTTTACTCGTGTGTACAAATTCAGAATCGGGGCGCCTTCAATTTGAGTGATACCTTCTGCTTTGCCGTTAAGTTAGTTTAGTTGCGTGACCTAACTTAACCCAACCTGACACGGTTGCGATCAGTATGTGAGCTTTGTGACCGATCAGAATCATAATACTCGGGCATATTCTATCGTAACAAAGACAAAAGGTGTTCCAACGTCCCGGAATTACTTCTCGCTTTGAATTTTTCGCGACCTTAATTAATACTAAATGGTAAGTGTTGCAAGGGTCAGGGAAAACTTGTGCAAATCTGTACCTGTGTGTGCAAATTCAGGATTGGGGCGCCTTCAATTCGAGTGATACTTCCGGCTTTGCCGTCAAGTTAGTTTAGTTGCGTGACCTAACTTAACCCAACCTGACACGGTTGCGATCAGTATGTGAGCTTTGTGACCGATCAGAATCAGAATACTCGGGCATATTCTATCGTAACAAAGACCAAAGGTGTTCCAACGTCCACGCAAAACCACTTTTACATACCGACGAGGTGCTACGGTGAACGCTCTCCAACGTCTTTAATATTGGAACCGTCGTCTTGTTTTTTCTCTATGCATTTCGACCTGTCTGAGTATCCGCACCTTTCCTGTTTAAATACTCAACGCATGCAAGAACCATATTCACGTAGCGGAAACTTGGCAACATCCCAACGATGATACGGCGTTTTCCCGCACCGCTCTCGGGAGCATCCTCATTTCCCGGAGTCAGGAGCCGCCGCCGCTGTCTCTACCTCCACCGTCGCGGCGAAGACAAAGATAAACTGTTATCCTGTCGTCTGCCGGGTGTGTTTTACATTTCAATCCGATCGCGCTCGGCTAATGTGTTTATTATTCAATCAGGGTGTTTTTGTCGCGAGTCGGGTACCCCGCGCCGGGAGGGGGGAGGGAAAGAGCGGAGAGGGGGTGGAGGGGAGGGGAGGTGAGGGGAGGAAGAGTTTTTGTGGATTTGCATTCGGTTCACGTATTACATCTTCGGGGTCCGCGCGCTCCCGCCGCCGCGATTCGCGACACTTTTCGCCCCCCCCCCCCCCCCCCNTCGACGGACGCGATACCCGGGGGCGCCGTTTCGCGAGGGGGTATGAACTCGCACCTATACCGCCGTGCCAAGGAAGAACGCCGTATGAACTTTTGAGAGTTGCCGAATTTCCCCCGATAAAACATTATTTTTGACAATATTCATGCATATTTTTACTTGAACTTTTCGGATATTTTAGATTGAATTGCGAACAAAATTGTCTGAAAATTTCGGAAAATAATATTCATAATTTTCCCGGTAAATTCGGTTTTTATCACAGGAAACTTGGCAACGTCTGAAGGCTCTTACGGCGTTCTTCCTTAGCCCGGGAGTATACTGTCGTGCCTAGGAAAAACGTCGTATGAGCCATCAAGCGTTGCCGTATTTCTTTGAGTAAACCACGAACATACGGGAAAGTTTGCAAACATTTTCTCCCAATTTTCCAGATAATTTTGTTCGCTATTTCACATAAAGTTTCTGAAAATCTGAAGGATAAGTATGCACAGCTTTCTGCTAAAATAAATATTAAATCGGAGGAAATTTGGCAACTCTCGAATGTTCATACGACGTTTTTCCCCAGCACGGCAGTATACTGACGGGGTCGCTTTCAGGTGGAACCTCTCGAGGTTAGGTTAGGTTAGGTTAGGTTAGGTTAGGTTAGGTTAGGTTAGGTTAGGTGGAACCGCGATCTCGCCTTGAAGTTGCGGGTTTTTCGTCGATGCTGGGAAAGGCCGTTTTAGGGTAGGTTAGTCGCAAGCTCGTGGTTTAGGGTTGTGTTCGTAGTCGCACGGTCGCCAGTCAGGGAATTGGAAATGGCAGGGAATTTCAAAAAGTCAGGAAAACCTTGAAAGGTTAGGGAAAATAACGAAAATGTCAGGGAAAAATTTGTAAAATTTTGGTCTGAGGTCATGCTCTATTGTTTTAAACCAAACGATACATCGAATCACTATCAAAGAGACTATATTGGTGCCACATCACAGCCGGTGTCAATCGTATCGAGTTGGATTCAAACAACGGCATAATCTTACTATTGAAACACCAAACTTGACTATTCCAGAGACAGTTCGCCTATTTTGATATCGAAGTTCATTTCAGAGACGGTGGTTTTAATCATAGAGCGTTCCTGTATGATTACGTTGACAGGATAAATCAGTTTAAGAAAGCATAAAATGCCTACGAAAGCGGCCGTGTGTTAAGCCACTCCAGTTACTTGCCATTTGACAGTGAAATTATGTTGATCAATGGGAGAGGGGTGGTCAATTTGAGGTTATGTTTGATTGTTCGGATCCAATTCGATACGATCGATACCGACTGTGACGTGGCACTAATAGCGTCTTTACGATATATTGTCAGCGCGATAGTAATAAACTCGCTGAAGGCCGACTCATAGCGGAGTGCACCAAGAGGAGGAAGCGACAACGGGGTTGCGGCCCGGGCGGGGGGAGGGGGAGGGGGTTGCGAGGTGGTGGTGAGCTCATCTAGCTTATTAATTTACCCGCGGGCGCCGGGAATCGAGGTTCGGGTTTCAAGTCGACCCAGCTACCCTGCCGCTCTAAAGAAGAACACCGTATGAGCCCTTAGACGTCGCCGAATTTCCTTCGATAAAAACCGAATTTATAGGAAAATTTTGAATATTTTCTCGCAAAGTTTTCAGAACATTTCGTACGCAATGCAATCAAAAATATCTGCTGATTCCAAAGAAAACTATGCATGAATGTCGTCAAAAATACATGCTTCATGAAGGGAAATTTGGCAACTCTCGAATGTTCGTACGGCGTTCTTCCCTAGCACGGGAGCACCGCCCTGGGGTGCGACCAACACCAATAAGGGCTCTATCCGATCCTCGC